ATGTATCGTTGTCAGCCTCACAGTTTTAAAACGTGTCTGTTAGGGAGAGGTTTTCACATCCTTGTAACCTGGAGAATAAATCATTCTTTATAAGCGCGTGGAAACCTCTCCCTAACATACGCGTTTTGAAACTGTGAGGCTGATAGTGATACGTAACGAATCAAAGCAAACAATATCTGATAGCAGTAGACTTATGCTATTACAAATGGTATTAGAGTCAGGTTACCGGACGGTGTGAGACATTGGTTGGTGTAGGGCTAGACCCTCTCCATAGTAGACAGGTTTTAAAACCTTGAGGGAAAGCCTAGAAGGAAAAATTCAAAGAGGACAAAAATTCAAAGAGGACAATATCTACTAACAGTGAACTTGAGCAGTTTTTCGTGTTAGTACACTTCTCTTTCAAACTCATCGTCTCAAAACAAAGGTAGAGAGTAGATTTAAACTGTTTGGAAGTTCTTTAGAAAAGTAGCTGATTCTTTTTCTTCGGGGGAAGTATTATGCACTAAGAATCACTCTATTTTGGATAGAATAACATTTGCGGTGGTTATCAATCATCAAAATAATGAAGAACTAGACCGTTAAAAGTCTCGAGATCATGTTCAAAACTATGAAATATCCGGTACTACTTCAAAAAGAGATCGAAGGTACAACGTAACAGTCTTTGATGATCGATTTTGACAAACATGAATAGTAGCTCATCTAAAATTCAATGAACGTAAGCTTTTGATCCGAAAAAAGAAAGGTAGGGAAGAATATTTGGTGCATACACATGTGAAGGCAGTCCTATACACCCAAGAATATTTGGGTGTTTGGTGTTAGCAAGTAGGGGCCTGTTTGTGTGTACTTTGTGGAGAAAGGATATAAGAAGTTTGAGATAATATATTTATTGAACAAAAAATTGTGAAGAGAAAGTGGAAGAAACACTAAAAAAAAAAAAAAAAGGGTATAAAATGTTGTTATAATAAGAATGGGTTGCATTATGTGCCCCATAACCTTCTATTTTGGATATTATTAAACACTTTCCTTTTCTTTATTGGGAGACCTTATGAGCATCCCTTTGAAAATCATATGTTTTTTTTTTTTAGAGAATTATCTTATTAACTCACTTTCTTGTCTCAAATATTGGCATCAATAACACAATCTACTTTCAAAATTTCAAACCCTAAAAAGAATATTATTGATACGGTACTCTCTTCATTCTTTAACCTAAAACATTTCGAAGAAACAATACTTTGTAGAAGTGTTCGTATAATTCGATGATCTAACGAATTTGGATTGTACAACTAAAACCATAAAAGTCGGTTCGGTTTGTGGGTTGTCATTGTGTTGGTTTGGTCAATCCAGCCAAATCCAATCTTACTCTTACAAAAATTAAGACTATCTAATGTTTGTAACTGATGTTAGTGATGTGTTGTGAACTCTATTCGGATGTTAGTGATGTACACCCCTAATATTTTGTGGGTTATAAATGGATCGTTCATCTATCTTCAATACCAAAACAAATTCTCTTTTTCTTTTTTCAGAAGTGTAGGTCATGTTTGATGATAATTATGGGTTTGTATCGTTTTTAAGATATTATCATTTAGCAATATTTTTATTAATTTTATACGTTTGATGACTCGAGTAAGACGTTATTGTATAATTCAAATCGCTTGTAGTTAGATATAGGAACAAACTAAAAGAGATGATCGAGCAGCAGGCTTTTGCGAGAGAGATATTCATAAATGAAAGTGAAAGAAATGATCGAGATTGAGAGATATTTATCGATAAGAGGAAGAACGACAGTAGAACGATTTGAAAAAGTGGAGTAATTACAATGGCAAAAGTGGGATGGCATGAACAAAAAGTAATCTACTTAATACAAACAAAGGCAACAATATAATAATCAAAAGGGTCTTGGAAATGTTGTCATATAATTGGATTCTAAATGGGTTTTAGATAATACACAATCTTCCCTATGGCTCATAAATTTCAAACCCTAAAAGAATAAGAACAACAAAAATGATGATGCCCATTTTTTCACTCTCAAATTTTGAATCATGAATTTATCTTTCTTCTTCTTCTGGCTTTCAAAACCCTAGATCCCCTGCTCATTCACAATCCACCGACCATAATATCCTTCCACAAATATGATTTGAGAATTCGATCCATTCAGACTATTTAATTCAAACTATAAAAGTTGAGTTGGATTAAAGTTTTTTCAATTTGCGTTGGGTTGAATTTTTATAAAAGTTGACAATATCTACTAGCGGTGAACTTGGGCTATTAAAAATGGTTTCAGAGCTAGGTTTCATTCCTAGAACCTGTGGGTTATGGGCCCAACCACGCCGACATGCACTGCAAAATCATCAATGCATCTTGAGTACAAATAGTCATGTTCAAGACCTAGGGTTTAAATGGTCAAGGTCGAACGACAAGCTTCGTAGAGAAGTGTTAAGACCTTGGTAACATTGGTCACGAGTCTATACTTCTCGAAAGGTCTTGGACAACTTTGGTTAGGTCTAAACATGATGTTAAGTGAAGCTCATCGGTGCAAAATTCATGTGTTACGAGCATGCATGATGCGAAAATTCTTGTGTTTGGCAAGTTTTATTTTATTTTACTTGTTCACGTATGTCGAAGATGATGCTCCTATTATTAACTTTCGATAAGCATGTTAGGATACCTATAAACGACATGATTTTTGCTTTGTCTTATATATGATATCTCACTAGGTATGAACTATTTACTAAATACTTTTGTATCGGCCCCTCCTTCAACGAACATATTATGTAGATAACGAAGTCTACTATGAATTTGTTGACGCGAAAGATGAAACACGACAAAATGACTCTATTAACTAGTTTCTAGTTTTTTTTAGTAGAAATTTACTCGAACAACATAGTTGGCTCTTTACTTACACCAATCTAAACTCATGTTGTGATTTAGTCTAATTCGTTTTATACTTTATTCTTTATATTCCTTTTTGTTTTCAAAACGCAAACTCGTGTTGTCGAAGCCCTTGAAGTGCATTTCAAAACGCAAACACGATGAAAAGAAGCTTATAATCTTTCCTATCTCTAAACACGTGACTTTTAACATACAAACCCCACAAGAAAAGACATAAAAATATGAACCAAATCACTTCAAT